TTCATGACTTTTAAGATTTTGCAGGATTCTACAAGACTTAAAATCAGGATTTTAATGAATTTTGCAAGACTTTTAAATCAGGATTTTAAAGGATTCTGTGGGATTTTGTGAAGATTATGATATCAATTTCATCTTTCACCTTTTTCTTTTCTTGACGTGTGTTATAAAAAAAATTACCACTTAAAAGTTGAAATTTCAAGCATTTTTTTTGTGTTATATAAAGGAACAAATTCAACTACATAGAATAAAATAGAGCAAATATGTCTATCATGAGATGAGAACAGTACTATAATTAAAGAGAACGAATAGAAAAATAGAGCAAGTCAATGACAGTATTATTTACATATCAAAGTTTCACAAAATAGGGGAATGAGATGAGAACAGTACTACAATATTATATATGAGCAATGAACAATAGTGTAGTATTATTAATAGAGAAAAAATGGAGAAGACAGGAGCATCGTAAAAAAAAGATGAAAAACTCACTTGAAAATTCTTGAAACACTTGAAAAATCACTTCAAACAATCCTTCAAAATCCGATGGGTTTGGATGAGATTGTTTTATGAATCTGGTATTTATAGATAATACTAGAATGTCCTTCAAAATCCCTCTTACACAACAATCCTTTAAAATCCTTATATTTTTGAATACCAATGAATTATTTTTAAGTTGTAAAAAATCTCAAATGAATACCAGTGGATTTTAATGGACTCTTTAAAAAATCTTGAAAATCCAGATTGAATACCACTGGATTGTTTTTAAGTGACATAAAATCCTGATTGAATACCAATGAACTTTTTTACTCAAAAAAAGTCTTTTAAAATCCTACGAAATCCTAAACCAATACACCCCCCTAAAGTCCTCGAGTAATTATGATTAGAAGTTTTTTTTGTTCATGTGTAGTATGGGAGTAATTATTTTTGTATGCCAATCTTTCACTGATAGACAGGTTTAACGAGACAGACAAAATCTATTTTTTTTTCTGCTGTTGAATGATAATTTGTTTAATATGAATTTGTCTGTCTTGTTTTTTCTGAGTATTCATTCAGCTGAGTTTTGGTAACTTTTTTTTTTTTTGCACAATATTATTATTTTTATTATATCTTAAAACTGACAATTAATTAAAGATTAATCTATATTTATATGATATAATTTTTATTAATTATATATTATTTTAACATATAGGGAGATCAAATATGTCTATTATGGTATTTGAGGATAAATTCAATATTTGGCAAGTTTTCATGGGCTTTCTGGATCCTGCAGTTCCTTCCTTCATATTTTTTTATTTTGTTTTTGTTTTTGTAATGGTATGCTAGAAAAATCTAAAAACTATATAAAAGAAGATTCCTAAAAATTCTATCGACAACTAATCACTTCAAAAAAATCTTGATTACTATCTTAATGAAATCTCTTTTATCAACTACATTTTTTTTTCATTTAAAATACTCAAAATGAAGAACTATTTTAAAGAACAAATCTAAATTCACTGATTTGTTGATATTTTGTTATTGTGTTATTTAATCATCTCATTTATTGACTTTCATTGTTTTATTAGTCCTAAATAAATTACATAATTATTTATTGTTTAATATAATAAATATTATATTGTAGAATGTATCAAAACTATAAGGGGGGTGTATTGGATTAAGATTTTAAAGGACTTTTTTAGTTAAAAAAAATCTTGAGGATTTTAAAAGACTTTGCAGGATTTTCATGACTTTTAAGATTTTGCAGGATTCTACAAGACTTAAAATCAGGATTTTAATGAATTTTGCAAGACTTTTAAATCAGGATTTTAAAGGATTCTGTGGGATTTTGTGAAGATTATGATATCAATTTCATCTTTCACCTTTTTCTTTTCTTGACGTGTGTTATAAAAAAAATTACCACTTAAAAGTTGAAATTTCAAGCATTTTTTTTGTGTTATATAAAGGAACAAATTCAACTACATAGAATAAAATAGAGCAAATATGTCTATCATGAGATGAGAACAGTACTATAATTAAAGAGAACGAATAGAAAAATAGAGCAAGTCAATGACAGTATTATTTACATATCAAAGTTTCACAAAATAGGGGAATGAGATGAGAACAGTACTACAATATTATATATGAGCAATGAACAATAGTGTAGTATTATTAATAGAGAAAAAATGGAGAAGACAGGAGCATCGTAAAAAAAAGATGAAAAACTCACTTGAAAATTCTTGAAACACTTGAAAAATCACTTCAAACAATCCTTCAAAATCCGATGGGTTTGGATGAGATTGTTTTATGAATCTGGTATTTATAGATAATACTAGAATGTCCTTCAAAATCCCTCTTACACAACAATCCTTTAAAATCCTTATATTTTTGAATACCAATGAATTATTTTTAAGTTGTAAAAAATCTCAAATGAATACCAGTGGATTTTAATGGACTCTTTAAAAAATCTTGAAAATCCAGATTGAATACCACTGGATTGTTTTTAAGTGACATAAAATCCTGATTGAATACCAATGGACTTTTTTACTCAAAAAAAGTCTTTTAAAATCCTACGAAATCCTAAACCAATACACCCTAAATAAAATGAAATAAAAACTGGGGTGTTACAGTTTGTCCGTAGATGCACAGTTTGTCAGCACATGAAGATCCCTACACAGAAACAGATGGGGTTACTCCAACCTTTAGCTATACCTCACAAAATTTGGGAAGATCTTAGTATGGATTTCATTACCTGTCTTCCGTGTTCTCATGGTTATACTGTCATTTGGGTTGTGTGCGACCGTTTAAGCAAGGCGGCTCATTTTGTTGCCATGCCCACTCACTTCAACGCCAACCAGCTAGCCCACCGCTTTATGCAGGAAATTTTTTGACTTCATGGCTTCCCTCGCTCTATTGTATCCGATAGAGATCCTATTTTTTTTAGCACTTTCTGGAAGACCCTCTTCAAAGCTGCTGGGACTAAACTTTGCTTTAGCTCTGCATACCATCCACAAATAGATGGCCAAACCGAGGTGACCAATCGTACATTGGAAGGCTTTCTCCGCTATTTTGTAGCTGACAGTCCACGTTCGTGGTTTGCTTATCTTCACTTAGTGGAGCTCTAGTATAATACGACCTTCCATTCAAGCATCCGGACTTCGCCGTTTCATGTTATGTATGGGCGCCATCCGCCTACCACGGTGGATTTCCTTACAGACAACCCCTCTTCGCCATCGGTGGCTGAGCTCCTACATCTCCACCAGCAAGTGTTATCTGACATCAAACATGCCTTGCGGGCAACAAGACAAAGAATGAAAAGGATGGCTGACCAAAAGCGGAGGGATCATACCTTTATCGAATGGGATTGGGTGCTGCTGCGACTCCAGCCGTACCGCCAAGGCTCTCTTCGCCACCGTAAAGGTCAGAAGTTGGCTCGTCGACTTTATGGGCCGTTTCAAGTCTATCGTCGGATCGGAACTGTGGCTTATGAGTTAGATCTGCCGACGACTTCGCGACTCCACCCCGTGTTCCACGTTTCTCGGTTGAAACCATATGTGGGTGACGATCCGATGCTCCATCACACACCTTTGCCATTAGATAAAGAGATTGGATTTCAGGGGGAGAACAACGTTGATGATACGATATCTCCTCCATTTCTAGTTCGTTCAAATGAATTCAAAGAGGGGACCCCTTCACTTACACGGACTTCTCACGTTCCGTCTTCCAATACACTTGCCACGCGTACTCAAACTCTTCCCAAGACAACCTCGTCTGTGGCACTTTCTAATGACTCACGTGTTGTTGTTACCACGTGTTTGCCTCACCCGTGCATTGTGGGAGCACCATTGGATGCATCACAAGGAAACACAAATGCATCACCAGCAGCCACGTTAGCGTCAATCCATGGCTCTACCCAAGCAACCAATCACGGGGTTCCTATGACTGACCTTGAGGACAAGGTCCACGTTGGGCCGGAGAGTAACGATAGGAAGCGGGCTAGACTGAAGCGTAAAACAAAGTTGCCAGAGTGGACCCGAGACTTCTTAATGCAGTAAATATTGGGATTTTCATGTGTTGGGCCTTGTGTAAAGCCCATATTAATCTTGTTATATTGTTGAGACTTCTTTTGGAAATGACATGATGAATTTGGATTTCAATTCTTGTTTAGCATTCCCTTAAGTTTTGGTTTCTTTCTATCCAGTAGCGTAACAAATCCATTCTCAATTTGAACAAGATGCGAATATTAATGTCAAGGGTGGGTTAAACAACTCAGGAAAATAGTGCATTATTCTTCAACCATATAATTGAATTTTGGTCCCATCCTTTTGTAATTAGGACATCACATCTTGACTAAATTGAATTACAATGGGGTTGTGTAAGTTATATTCTGATGTTAATTTTACCATCCATCTCGACTAAAAATAATGAAAAGTGTCTTCAAAATGCTTATTAGATTATTCAAAAATAATATATGTATTTTTTTTTTAAGAAAACATGTTCACAAGAAACTTTATTGTAATTTTCAGTAAAAAAAAAGTTGGTTAATTATTATTTTTAATCTGTACCCTTACCCCTCGAAGAAAAGTTCTTGAAAGACACGCATAATTGTAAATTGAAAAACGTTAGGAAACAAAATTTATACTTACTTTTTTGTCCTTTTGGAATTATATAATAACATTTTATTTACAACTATGTATACATTGTCCCACCATCCTCTTGTAGTCTTGTGTCAAAAACTTATTTAGCATTCGCTTATTTTGTTCAAAACCCATTCGTACCAAACACGGCGTTGAGCGGATAATTTGGTTAATTTCCTCCACCCACTGAGATTTCACTAATCAGTACTGTAATGTAAGTGAATTACATTAAAATCAAATACTACTCGTAGTTCATAAGATTTAGAAAAAACAATATATAAAAATGGAAAATTAACAATAACGCTAAAAGCTGAATCAAATTAAAGGGAACGCAGCATGTTGGTAGCATTTAAAGAAGAAACAAAGAAAAGAAAGCATAACACACAGTGGTTGAGCATCAATTTTTATTTATTTATTTACGTGTTTTGGATGTGAAATAAAAAACAAAAAATTAAAGTAGGTGTTTTATTTTTCCTTACAATCAAACAAACTCTTCCCGTGATCCAAAATATAAAACAAGCATTAAACTAAATACATGTGAAAAAGAACACAAAAGAAGCATTAAATACAAAGAATGAGTCTGAAGAAACAAACGGAAGCCCCATGCAAAAGAGAAAGAAGAAGATATTGGAAAGCAAAAGATACAGAAGTTACAATGTACGTGTGATGATCAAGAGAGAACCCCCATGCAAAAGAAGGCAAGCCCAGCAAGGACGAGCCCAAGAGCCAAATTCCTGGGAGGCGCAGTGTCCTTCTGGTCACCGGAAGGAGAAGGAGCTCCACCAGCCTTGGCGGCAACGGTGGGAGTTTCCGGCGAAGTTTTGGAAGACTTGGGAGAAGGAGCAGAGGGAGACTTTTGGTTTTCTCCGAAAAGCTCCAACGGCAGCAGCACCTTGTCGACCTGGTAAACGGCGAGCGGAAACTGCTGCCTGAGGGCGTTGTTGACGGGCGTGTCGACGACGCCGGTGGAGACGTTGAGTTGTTGTCCCTTTCCGGTGAAGTTGAGCCCCCACGTGCCTTCTTTCTCGGTGGCTTGCGTCCTCACGGGGTTGCTCACCGTCAAGAGATCGGAGAGGGAGTAGTATTTGGGGGTGACGTGGAAGAGGATGAGCTTCACTTTCTGGTCGTCGCTGAGGCCGTTGAGGGCGCCGGATTTCAGGTTCATGAAGGCGTTGTCGGTGGGGGCGAAGAGAGTGAAGCCCTGCGAGTTTGATTTCAGTTGGCTCTCGATTTGGGTCAGTTGTTGGGTCTCCTTCAGGAGCCGGATTAGGGTTGTGTATTGCCCACCTTTTTCCAGGATGGCTGTCAGGTTCAGGCTGCCCGAGGGGGAGGGTGCTGGGGCCTGGGCTTGGGCTTGGGCTCTCAGGCAGATTGTTAGGGTCAGGAGAATGAGAGTGAGAGGGGTGGAGGCCATGTTATAATGTGAAACAACAAGAGAGCTGAGGTGCTGCTAGTGATGATATGTGATCATATGTGTATGGTGTGCTGGTGTGTGGAGGACTGAAAGGGTTTTTATTTGACTAGGCTGTGTGTGTGTTAGGTTGAGACCTTGTTGGCATGAGCTGGCTCATTCATAATAATACTGGTTAATTACCTTACGCTTATACACGTTGTGCAAATAATCTATTTATTAAAGAATATGTATTTCATTTTTATTGAGTGAAAACTTGTCGAATCATATATAACAATTACAATATATAGTATGAGTATAATTAATCTAACATTTACAATAATACAAATGAAATTAGTCTCTAACTCTATAAATCGAAGAATACTTGTGGCATGAAAAAAAGAAATTATATTAACGAGAATTTCGTGTTGGTTGTTGACAAATGAAGTATAAAATGCACAAAGAGTGGTAGGACATATGATGAAGGAGACAGGGAGAGAAGAATATATAGAATAGTCTCGTCTTGTTAAAAGAATGAAAATGAAACCAGTTATTGGTTGGTTCGCATCATGATAAAAAGTTTTGATACTGTGAAAGTCTGAAGCGGCCAGCATGTATATGATCAAGTCAAACCTAATAGTATTTCCAATTACAAAACTTAATGGGCAGCATCTTTTAGGTGTCAGTGATATAAAGTTGAGTTGACAATATGTGCTTTAAAAACATGAAGAGTTTTTCATGGATCTATACATTATTAGGAGATGGGTTATGTTTTTAGTCTTCCTTTATAGTTTCTACAGAATTGTTGATTGTCTAAAGAATTGAAACAATATTGTTGATTAAATGATTACGTGCGAGAGGGCCGTTGAAGAATAAACATCGTATGAATGTACAAGTGGGGAGTTTGGACAATAAGCAACAGTTGTAAAATGGTGGTTGGCAGCCTGGCATGTGTAGACATAACACGTGGGATAACATTAAGCACTAAATAATCAACACATCGAGTATCATTGTCAGAAACACAGTGATGATACGATCTGATTAAGCAATCCATAATTACTTGGCCCAATTTCTCAGGGACCAAGGGCCATGTCCATCGCTCAACATCACAATAGGTATTTATATTTGGGCCTCAAGCCTTAATTTAATAGTTTTGGACTTGGGCGTTGTTTTGTGTAATTGTGGAGCAAGGAAAGAAGAAGGCCCAAATGGCGGTTGGTAAATGAAGGAAAGGAGGAGAATCCCAATCCGAATGACACAAATGATTTGATTGATTGCCCTGTAGTTGGTTCATCTCTGAGAAGTGAGAAGGCATCTTGGATCTGTTCTCTGGAAGGTGGTGGTGGATGGCAAAAAACAACAAATACGCCTCTATTAACTTCAACCACATCTACGAGAAAACCACAAGCACCAACACCAGCCACCCACATAAGAACCCTTCCTCTTCCTCATCCTCCGCCTCCTACTCCGCCGTCTCCGCCCCCAACAAACCCCATGGCCGAATCCTCGTCCTAACCCGACCCACACCCAAACCCAAACCCATCACGCCCCCCACCCCGCAGCCTCAGCCGCCGCCACCCAACCCGGTCCAGGCCCGCCCCGCACCGGGATCGGACGCGATCTCGCTCCGGCCCTTGGGTCGAACCGGAACCACCTCCCCCCTCTCCTCGCTCCCCGTTCCCATCAACCCCGACAAGGACTTGCCCTCTCCGCAGCCCAAGACCAACAAGTTCGTCCCGCCGCATCTCCGGCCCGGCTTCGTGCCCAGGGAGGAGGCGCCCGGGCCCGAATCGCTTCGGCCCAATGGGAGGCCCAAGTCCGGTGGCGGCCACGAGAGGATGAGAAGGCCTGTCGCCTCGGACGCCCCGGGGATCATGGGCCGCGGGAGCCGGCCCAGTTCCAGTGGATGGTATGTTAACTTAATAACGTCGCCTTGCTCTTTTTGATTGCGTCGTTTTGCGTTCTGCCTTGTCGTTTCATGCTCCTAGGTACTAGGTTCCACCGACATCAATTGCCAATATTTTTCAATCCTTGGAATTACGATTTGCCTTTGTGGTTACTTTTTTAGCAATCAATTCCGAGACTTTAATTAATATACTATATTTGGGTTTGTATGATAAAGTGAATTAAGTTGATGTCAATTTATGCGTTTAGTTTTTTTAAAGTGCTAACATCTAGCTTCTTCAAGTGCATAAAATGTATTATATGTCTTAAGGTTGATGAGAGTAATAAATTTGCTTTAGAAGAAAAGCCCAAAATGTTTGCTTTTCATGATTCTTCTATTTATTGTTCTGTCAACGAAAAATGGATCATATAAAAGATAAATATTCGGAGACTTATTTCAAAAGCCATAAAAAATAAGGGATGAGTGGTGTTTGTGGTGTTTTTAATTGAGTCAAAGCCACACTTTTTGAAGGAACAACATACTGTTATGACTTGTTAAATTACTCATTTATTTACCTTTGGTTCAAAATCAATACTTGAGCAATTTAATGCTGCATGGGAGAACACTGTATAAGTGTAGAACCTTTCTTTCTAAAGAAGTGCATGGGTAGAGTAGAGTACTTGATTAAGAGGCTGCACTGTGTATTTTAAGAATAGTTATCCAGGCATTTTGTTAATGTTGATGACTCTTGTCTTACTGTATTGGTAACTGGTTTTTATTCTGATGTTGGTGCATATTTTGGGTAGGTCCAATGCTTACAAGCATAATGAGTTTTTGACCAACCTGTCTTTATGATCTTTCCTTGTCTATAATTTACTTAAAAGAATGAAGTTGGTAGCTGGATTATCTTCTCAGTATGCTGTGTTGAACTTTTCGTATAATGTTTTTTTATTATCCAAATTGTATAAACTCTGGCCATTGTGGTTGAGTCATAGTATATGTGCTTGGAATGAGCTTTTCAATGTATGTGCATGGCTTTGACAAAAATGTCTTTGTGCAGAATTGTTAGGAAGTTGAATTCTTTTCCGAGGACGAAGACAAACACATTTTGCTACAGAGATGGGTTCTCTATACCAATTCAGTGCAAGTATCCTTTGTCTCTTTGGAACTGATATCAATTTTCACAAGATGGCATCTCAAATCAAATCACCGGAGACGTAAGCTGACCAGGTGGCGGATTTTCAACGCCTAACGTCCGAATTTATAGCGAAATTTGTTGTGCACGTAGAAGGCCTTGACACCCAAGTTCTTCTGCTGGTGTTTGGCCCTCTTTAACCACGTGCCAATAGAGTGTAGAATCTATATACATATTTTTAATTCCTAGCTAAACTCTTTTTTTGACTGTTCTGAAAGACATGCCTTCTGCACTTTGAGCATATGTTTGAGAGGAGATCCAATCGTTTTTATCGTTGTATTGTACTTGATGCAGTTTGTTTGTTAATTGAGCCAAGGCCCATTCATTCATTAGTTACACATTGATTCAGTCTTTTCAGTCCTAAAAATGTTTTGCATGTTTAAACTTAGACACAAGGATGTTGAATACAGTGAAAACTGATAGGACTTCATCACGAACAACGCATCGCGGAGAATTCTGAAGTAACAAATAATAGATCAGGCAGTAACTGCAGCAGCAATGTAGTTGTAACAACGTTGATAAAATCTACAATTATTTTTATGACGTTTATTGCTTCTAGAGCATGTCATTGCAGTTTATATATTGTAAAATAACATGGGTCATCATCAGATGTCATTTTCATTTTTCTCATCCGTCCATTTGTCTGCTATTTTCATAACCATTTTTAATTAATGTCAACGAAGGTGCTGTTTGAGATTCCTGAACGTTTTCATGTTTTCTTCTTTAAAACAAAGTCCTGACGCCATGTGTTGAGTGGTGATTATCTTTTAATGTATATTTTTATTAATGGATGTTAGTCTCATCATTAAATAATCTTGGTTTATTCCTTTTGGTAGGGTTAACATATACTATTATCTGCTGAGTAAAAATTAGAAATAGATGCATCTTATCCTCGCAGCACATTGGTGGCAGTAGCAGTGGTACGATGGAAGATGACGATGGTTTTAAAAAAATAGAATTCATGGATGCTTCTCATCCTTTTGGGTGCAATGTACTACATTATCAAATATGCACCAAGTTCTAAACAGGAAATGGGGTCCAAGGAATCGACATGTCTTTCATGCAGGAACTCTGATATCCAAAATTTAGTATTTGACCAAGTCAGGACCAGACCATGTAATATTATCACGGACGACAAAAGTTTTCCTATGAAAACTTTCAATATAACCAAAACATAAGATACTTGGATTTAAGATTTTTAATTAATTTAGAACAATTCTGCGTAGTTGATGTAGGCTATCATTTAGGAACGTTGGTTATACGTAACCGCCATTGAATATTATTCTCTAGACTTTTTCAATTTGTGTTAACTCTTGAACTTTTAACGTAATTGCATCTAAACATCTAATTAAACTATCATGACTCTTGTGCAAAAAAATAAAATAAAATTAGAATGTTTCTGTACTAAGGGGAAGTTTGGTTCAAGGATGATTCTGTTTTCCCAAGAATAATCTTAAAATATTTCAAGTTAGAATGTGATTTTTAGATATATTTCAAAAGTGTTCAGTTAGATTTTAATATTTATAGAAATAGTTTTAAAATTTTAAAATAATTATGAAAAAGTTACTTTTTCACTTCCCATCATTATGTGAATAAAACTCTCTTAATGATGAAAATGTAATTTTATATGACCTTTTAACAAACTGAGATAAAATAATTTTACCTTCTTATTTCTTGATATAAAAGAAGATAAAAAATAGTGAGAAATCCATAAATTTTAAATATTAAAAATAATACTTATACATAAACTTTGTAGTTTAAACATATAACTTCATTTTTTTAAAAAAAAAATATACATTTTTTTTTAATTTTTGAAACATAATACTTATACATCAAATTGTTCTGTATGAAAATTCATATTTTAAAAACTGAATGGTTTTTTATCATTTTTAACATTTTAAAAAAATATTTTTTTATAGAAGTAACTAAATAGTCATTTAATCATGTATATCTTGAATTAAAATTTTGACCTTCATTTTTAAAAAATAGTATAATATAAATTTGGTTCAATCATCACTTATTAATTCCTTTACTAACATAATCAAATTATAATCGATACTTTCTAATCTCATAATAAATATCATATCGTCCTAAATTGTTTTACACAAATAAAAAATAAAGAAATTTTATAATTAATTTTCTTTACTAAAAATAATGCAATTCAATATCTACTTTTTAAAAAATACTTTGAAAGGGTATAAATAAAAAAAGGTAATTAATACTATATTAAAAAATTAATATTACACTTATTTTAAGACTTACTTTTTTTTTTTTCAAACATGACACTTATTATGAGATAAAGAGAATATTATATATATATATATATATATATATATATATATA